ATCCAAAGGCAAAACGTTTATCAGATGCACAATATATAAATGCAAAAGTGGTCAAAAAAAAACGGATTATGTTTCTCTGTCACTTTCAACGGGATCGACTGTAAAGAAGAACGAAACAGAGGAAGATATAGAGGCAGAACAACTACAACGATTTGTTAATGAGCCAATTCAAGTAGAAAGATTGGAAAAAAAAATCTGATTCATCGGCCAAATCACATACAGACAATCCACTTTTGTCAAAACAAACCGATATAGTTGCAGATTTTGATCAAACATTGTCTGCACTCAGTGGTGGCTCTTTTTCCTTCTCATTTAATGGTCCATTACCGGATTCTGCAATTACTGAGGAAAAGCTTAGCGAGAAAACTTCCACAATTGCGCAAGATAGTAGCATAGTTGCAAGCTCACGTATAGTATCACCACCACCAGGCGTTGGATTTATTAGAACAGACATTTCAAACCTTTCAAACAGTGCTGAATTTAATCAACCATCACCCATTCCTTACACTGGCTCGTTCAATCCGTTTGCACCTGATGATGATAAATTCGATCCCTTCTCTAGTGAAAGTCCATCTTTAGGTGTTATTGGAATATCATCTCTTGGTAATAACGTTTCGGATATCTATGTAAATGATGCGAGGACACATTCACAGGCATATTGTAATTCTGCAAAATCAAGAAATTCATCACGGTTCGGTTTTGCCCAAGATGGTGAATTCACGCATTTAAATTCTGCAGACCCATTGGCTATGAAAGATTTACAAGATGGTTTCCGAGCACTATTTCCAAATGTTAATATAAGTTTTGGACCAAGTGATGTGCATCAAGAATCCATGTGGAATACTTCAAATGATTCTACTTTCGCGCCGTTGCGCCGAAATTTAATGAATGCACCTCCCGGTGTTCCGATTTCTAGTATGAACCAAGCTCAAAATCTTCTTAACAACACATCTCCTGGCCTGGATCATCATTTCCACCAAAATATGTTAATGCAGCATCATCAGCAGTTGAGCGGAAATTCGGTTGTACCTCCAGCTATTAAGTCACCCCCACCTGGAATTTATGCACAATCTCCTCGGATGGATTATGGCATAACTGGTGGTTGGAATCCACCAACTACTACCTGGAATACTGAAGATGACTACTTATCTCGTCAACCCCCACATCAACCTCCACATCAGCCGTCTCAAAATCAATTTTTATCTAACCATTCTAGAAATGAAGCTCAAGACATTTTCGGTGCTTTTCTTAAGGCTGCTGCAGTTAATAATTCAAATACTCACGATGAAGTGTCTAGAGAAGGTTTGTAGTCTTTTGCTTAATTCACTCTTCTAAATAAAATGTTTCCTATATAACTTATAATAATTTTATATGTTATTAATATGGTGATAATTGTAGCGGAGGCATTACCAAATATTCTTCAAGATCCTGCTATTATGTCAGTTCGAATTTCTCAAGCAGACAATGCATATCGGGCACCAGGTGCGCCAGTAATGTCACAGCAGCAATATCAGCCAATACAAAATGTTGGGGGCCATCGGTTAAGTGTATTTGAACGGGTAACAAGAACAGGTGACGAACAAATTGGTGGTGGGTTCGGTGTAGGAATCGGATTGGGTAATATGGATGCAGGTGGGTTTTCTTCAATGCTTAGTGGTCGGGGTTATTAATCCCAATTATAAAGAAAATAAAAAAATTGAACCAAAAGACAAAAAGACAGAGACAAAAGAGTGTGTCTTGAATTATAATTTTGTGGGTAGTTGTTTATAATCCAATTGAAATTTTTTTTGCATTTGATTTTTTTTGGGAAGGTGT